GGTATGAAACCAATTGCTCATCGCCAATCGCAAGAAGCACGCACTATTATCACGGACGGCAACGGAATAAGGAGCCACCAATGCGAGGGAGACTCACCATGATTCACCAACGCTGAGGGTGTCGTCTTCCGTGGGTAAGAGTCGCAACTGGAGTGACCTGACTTTACAGGCTACGACCCTGAGCAACGCGTAGATGACCATTGGGCTCTCCCGCCATGCACCAGACAATGCACCATGTTTTATACACACACACACACACACACCACACACACAACACACACACACACACACACACACACACACACACCCACACACACACACACACACCACACACACACACACACACACACATATATGTATATGTATATATATATATATAGTATATATATATATATATATATATATATATACATACATTTATGTGTGTGTATGTATATATGTACATAACTTACCCCCTGCTTCCCACTGAGAGTGTGTTGGGTTGTCCCGCCCGGCCGTCCCCGCACGTGGGACCCCAATTCCCCCTGCCCATGTTGGATGTCCTGGCCGGCTGGGCTCACAGGCATTAACGACACAGGTTCTAGAGAGCAGTGACGGTGCCGACAGTGTTTAGAGAGCGGACGTTTCAGTGCTAGCTGACTAGCGTTACCCGCATATCGAAATCTGACCTTGGTTCCGGACATGATTCGTCCATGCAAGCATTCTTGAACCGTTGATGATTCACATTCGTTCATGCAAACAAAAACGTTAGTTTTTTGTTAGTTGGTACAACCAAGTTAAGTTCAGTCGTCAAACTGTACAGAGTCTAAGTTAGATGGTCGAAATTTTTGGGAGCATAAGAACTCAAGCGGCAAAACACGTGCTGCATAGAAGGACTTACTATCCGCACTGGTGGTAACGGTCGTCCCTAATTAAGATGAAGGGTGACTGGGGGGTTGGTCTGCTTGCTTATTTCCAGTGGCGATCTTTGTATCGCGACAACCTCCAGAAGATAAGGCCTCTTTCTGTTTGATGATGATGTTTTGATGCCTGTGTTCCTGGTGAGGTCGTAGTCTGAGGTGGGGTTCCGACCGTGTTCTTTTCTTATGTGCCCTTTTGGAGCAGCGTCAGCCAGCTGCGCCGTCAACCGCCCTGAAAGTGTGATGGTAGTGACATCAACGTAATTTGACTACTTAGGAGTCTGCAATCTCCTATGTCACAACAGAACTGTTTATTTGGTACGTTGGTATACTACGTTGGTTCGTTTCAAGGGGTCAGATTTGTCCATGAGGTCATTTCTTATAAGTTGGTTGACCTTCATGTTTTTGTAGCAGATGGTGGGTGTTATCTTGTCGTCCTGGCTTGACGTTGGCTTGAGGCTTGACGTTGTCAAGTATTATTTTCTTCAAGATACGCTCGTCTGTCTTATAAAACCAGGCATTTGATTCTGATAGCACGGTTTGATTTGATTTAGCTGATATTTGATGGCGGCAGTTTTGTCTGATATCATACGTGCGGCAAAATTATCGAAATATAGCATACATATATATATATATATATATATATATATATATATACTGACGAGTTCTACTCAATTTGCGCAAGAAATTTCTACATGAGCTTTCGGAATGTATGGTTACGGCCAGCTTTGATGCTTGGAACCTTTTTAAAAATATTCCGCAGAAGGGATCTCTAGCCATTTGCGTGAAAAGTTTGTGTCCGGGCTTTCGAGCTGTCCGGGCTTGCGAGCTGTCCTGGGCTTCCGAGCTGTCTGTGCTTGCTGAGCTGTCCGGGCTTGCGAGGTGTCCGGGCTTGCGAGCTGTCGGGGCTTCCGTAGCTGTCTGTTCTCCGAGCTGTCTGGGCTTTTCGAGCTGTCCTGGGCTTGCGAGCTGTCTGTGCTTCCGAGCTGTCGTGCTTCCGAGCTGTCCGGGCTTGCAAGCTGTCCGGCCTTCGAGCTGTCTGTGCTTGGAGCTTCTGGGCTTCCGAGCTGTCCGGGCTTCCGAGCTGTCCGGGCTTCCGAGCGTTCGGGCTACGTTCATAGGGCTTTACTGCGGCTGTTTTCGCTCTATACTGAAACTCGCTGTCACGAACTCCCTTCCTTATCTTCAAAGGCAAACTGCATGAACAAACAGAAGGCGTGGGGCTGGGAGCAACACAATCTCCAATTGACCCACTTTTGCCAATATCTTTACGGGCTTTCACGATAACCAGTGACTATGCACCCTGCCCCCCCCCCCCCCTCCCCTAACATTCGAACACCACTCTATCGGCGATAGATTGACGTCGCCTATCTGTTGTTTCGACAGAGTTTGCATACTGAGCAATTTCTCACTTCTTTTAACGTCCAACATTCTAGCATGCAGTCACGAAGGAGCGAAGAAATGAAATTGGCTGTTTGCCTTTCCTGAATGTGCGAGTTCGAAAGCTACAAAGGCAATTTGCAAACCTTCTGTCGATAAATTGCCCAACGTTCAAGTGGTCTTTGACTGAGCCTTTCTCATTTATTCCCGAGTTTTTTATTTTTCACATTCACATTACATTCACATCACATTACATTTACATTACATTCCCTATGTGGTATAAAAACGGGTATTTACAGCGCTTTCCATTGAAGTTCCAATTATTAACTAAAAAAACAACAACAAAGCCCCACCGCTCACGAAGGCCTAAGGCTGAATTAGTATTTAACGCTGCCTTTTTTGGAAAACAGTCGATACAAGTAAAAATGAGATTGCCAGCCTGTTACTAGGTTTTCAGCCTGTTCTGTCCCCTAGAATCATCATATCAGTGAACTGTTGGACCTTTCTTTTAGCTAAAGACAAGCTTCCCAAATGTTCTGTCTCCGCAGTCCTTCATGAACACTGCTGCGCTCCGTGTCGAACATCTTAGGTGGCTCATCCTTCGTATTTGCACTGCAGAGTGCAGCAACATTTGGAAAGGTCTGACCGTGCAGGTAGCATTCTGTCTAACCGAGGCCCTTTGCCCATTACAAGACCAGTCATTTTCGTGTGCTATTCACTTTAACATTGAAAACTATCCCGTGTTAGGACGTTGCAGTAATGCTCTCGATCTTAGGATTTTTGAATTACTTCATATTCACCATAATGCCGTCATTGGGGTCTATACATTCTTTGCAAGTAATAAGGCAGCCCTTTTCGTACCGAGTCAAAAGGATATTTCGTCGCGTGATTTCTGTATTTTTTTAAACTGTTCTGCTTATGCGCGAAGATGTCGTGTTAAATTGTGTTAACTGTGACCGTTGTCATGTCTAGCGACATTGGTTGAATGTTCTAGCATTGCATTGTGAATTGATTGAACTTCTGCTATAGTACTCGTCCTGATGATGATACGCATGCATCGAAACGTTGAGAACTACATAAATGATAGTGACCAGTGTTTATGCCAAAGCATTTTCGCGTCCTCTTGCTTGCCAAGGATGTTCCAGAGAGAGAGAGAGAGAGAGAG